TCGTTCCAATTCGCTCCTGGCACCTCCCCCCAGGGCTTTTCCAGTTCGTCCCAGTTCGTCCCAGTTCTTCCCAGTCCATCCCAGTTCTTCCCAGTCCATCCCAGTTCGTCCCAGTTCATCCCAGTCCATCCCAGTTCATCCTAGTTCACCGCAGCGCTACGCAAACGGCGTAGAGGCCGCTACGCCACGGCCGTCGCTTCCCTACGGAAATGGCGTAAATCCCCCTCCCCCCCAATCCAATTAGCGGAGATGAGGGAGGGGTCCCGGGAATGGGGGAGGGTCCCGGGAATGAGGGGAGTGGTCTCGGCAGTGACGGGCGGGGTCTCGGTAACGGGGGAGAGGTCTCGGTAATGAGTGGGAGGGGCTCCGGTAATGAGGGGCGGGGTCTCGGTAATGGGGGCGGGGTCTTGATAACGGGGGAGGGGCCCGGGAAGGCCCCGGGCGGAGGCGCGGAAGGATCCGGCGGTGCTGCGGCCTCACGTGACTGACGTCATTGCGCGGGACGCGTCACGTGGCGGGCGAGGTAAACACTGTGTCACGTGACTGAGGAAAAGGGCGTGGTCAGCCGGGAAGGGGCGTGGCCAATGCGGACGGAACCATTGTGGGAGAACACGGGGGGGGAAGAGTCCGGGCGAGTCCATCCCAGTTCCCTCCCAGTTCATCCCAGTACCCATTCCCCCTCCCCCACAACCCTAAAAATTCCCCAATTTTGGGAAAATCCAAACTTTTATTTCCCTAAAAAAAAGCTCCGAGAGAAGGGAAAAGGAATCCCCCCCTGGATTTTGGGRWTYYYCKSKGGAAKTTKGGGATKTTYTKGGGAWTTTTGGGTYCCCAGTTACCCCAGTGCCCGTCCCAGTAATCCCAGTGGCACCAGGAAGAGGTTGAGGGGGCACAGCCCCGCCCCTGCCCAGGGGGATTTTTGGGGTTCGGGATTTGGGGTCGGGGGGTCCCGGGAAGGGGCGCTCAGGGACCCCCAAACCCCCCGGAAATGGCGCTCGAGGGCTCCCAGTTCTCCCAGTGCTCCCAGTTCGGCCGGGAGGGCTCCCAGTAAGGACAGCACCACTGCGGACTCTGTG